ATGTACCTTTGAATAAAAAGCTAAGCTTGACAAGTTAATCTTATTGTGAGGGTTTGAACACAGTCTAGTAAGTAGTAGAAGTATCGCAAATTAGATCATTTAATCCTATTGGAAAAGTCTAGAACTGACAGGTGTCCGACTACAGCAACCATTCTTTTCTTAAGGGTTAACATGTTTACAAAACAAAATTAAGGTGGTGCAATGTTCTGTGGTTTGAAATAATGGTTTGGCAATTGAAGGATTGCCAGTTCAAATGCCAACCCTGGTATGGCAAGAAAACAGTGCAAATGACTAGGTTGACTTATGAGACATTTTCCTTTGGGGAATGAATGGGTTATTAAAGAAATACATTTACTAAGGCATAACCTGGCTAATATTTATTCAGAAAACCACCATGTACACAATACATACTGACATTTTTTTAATTTATCTTTTTTTATTTTTTATCACCAAGCCAATGTGAAGAGTAAATTAATTAGTATTACAGTGTTAGGTACTCCAGTTTCTAATATAAAATCATAATAATTCAAAAACAGACTCAAGCATTTCAAACCAAAGCAGGGAGAACCCGATTAGGCCGGTTTGATGCAGCTGATCAATAGGCTTTTTCAATGTCAATCCAGTCACATGGGACTGGCTTGTGTTTATATTCCAGTGAAATAGGAAAAAATGTACAGTATGTCCGCTAAGTTTACTGCATGGATGAGTAACAAGTAGTGGGATCTGTCAGAACAAGATTGGAGGTGAGACCCTTAGTGAGAAGACTGGATCTTTTTGACAACTGACAACAACAGGAGGAGGGGAGGCAGCGAGACGTGTTAATGAGGACATGTCTGTTCCACACTCTGCCGCAATTAGTTTTTGACAGCTCTCAAAACAAACAGGGTGTTCCGTGAAGATGGACACAGAGGTGGCTATAGCGGAATGCTGCTGTAAAAAAAAAAGAACAAGGTGAGTGTGTGAGTGTGTAGACTGTAAATAAAGACAAATGATGTCTCTCCACACAGGCCTGTCTGTCGTCCTGCATCTGTCAATCACAATCTGTTACAGCTGTTTCAATCTTGTACCAACTAGTGTCCTGCAGGTACGAATCCAAAGCTACTTTCATATAACTATGAGCACTGATTTTCCTCCATATCCCTCGTCTTCATTTCATTGACTTATTGTCAACAACTAAATCGGAAGTTCAAAGAAGTAGGTTGACTAAATTAATTTATGCTATTGTTAAATAATGAAAATCAGGTCAGGAACAAAATCCAATCAACGCTGTTCTCGTTGTAACTTAATTATGACTTCATTCAATTTTATAAAGATGAAAATATTACACACCGCATTTTAGCCGACTAAATTCAATTTCAGAATACTTTGTTGACTAAAATTACACTAAAATTAAAACAAAAACAGTTCTGATGACTGTTGTAATTTAGTGGGATGATGCTCAGGCCTCAGTGTCAATTTTAATGATTGACACTGTATGAACAGTCAATGTAGAACTTTCAGTACAAGGAAGCATCATTAGTACTGTGGCATTTAGAAAATGCACAAACATGCCACACTGACGAATGTAATTCTCACCAAAGGTCAGAAGTCTGTAAGTCCTTAGCGCCCAGTCCACGGGCAAGAAAATGAGTCATAAGTTTGTTTTCTCTTTTATATCTGCCAACTCAGTTTTTTTTTTATAATTGCACAAGTTTTTCAACCAGTTAGGAAGGTCTGTGCATCGGGTACGACTTTAATGGTCTTCTTTCCCGTGCATTTCCATTACTTCCCTGTCAGCCCTGGTACCTGAGCTTCATGCTTACCTTAATGATTGCAACCCTCAGCAGCACAATGTGGGTGAGACAAATATGTCCTACCACCACTTAGGACATCAACCACTTATTTCAGAGGTTTTGCATCACATCAGGGAGGAATCTTACAAACCATCTTCAGTGGCTTTTCAGCAAAAAAAGAGAAGATAATGAGCCATCCTGACTGTACAGTATCATGGGAGATGACAGAACAAAAGCCACTTCCTCCATTGAACTTAGACAAAGAGCACGTGAACATGTTCATGCAAGAAAACTAGATTTTTACTCCTGGGCTGTTGTTCTAAGACTGCTGTGGTACAGAGATCAACTGTTTAAACAAAGCACAGTCTTTGATCACAGCTCTGATGTCACAGTGGGTTAAGAGTTGAATTTACAGCCCCATTTGCTCTGATGATAAGAGCAAAGCACCATTTTAAAGTTTCACTGAAGTTCCTGTCAAGGCTAAAACAGTGTGCCAGTGTGGAAAAGCAACGGCTGCTTAGTTCTGCAAAACATAACAGTCAAAAACTGAACTGCTTGCTTGCTAACAGCAAACACCTCATTAAATTTCCAGCTGCTTTGACAGCGTCCTCTACTAACTTCAACTGTCTTTGATGTAGTTACACAGGGCTGTCATATCCATGTTTATATTTTCTTAGCATGACATACTAGACCAGGGGCCCTAAAATGGCGGCTTGCCTACTTGTAGAGCACAAGCTGAACACATGAAAGAAGTCTGTTTTCCTGTTGGTCATGGTAAGTATTCAGTAAAGGTCAGCACAGTAAATGGGTCGTCATCTCTATGTCAACAGTGCTCTAACAGGCTGTTTGCGAGAAGTAGGCCCGAATTCTAAACATAAAACCTCATACTAGTGGCCGTGGAGTTGTAAACATAACGAGTGTAAAGACACTTTTTACAGTTAGTGTCCTAGTGACCGAGTCCCAGAGGTGGACAGCTCCATCCAGGGTAACCATGAATAAGCATCCCGTTCAGTCACATCAGTGAGACAGTTATATCACCGACACAGCAAACATGGACGATGTCATGTGTTTGCTGCTCATTGTTACCACTGTCCTGTGAGCTAACTTACCCCCTACAGTGCTGCTGACGGGAAACAGTCAGTCCAGTGATGTAGTGTGCATCACGACACAATGCTGCTATCCAGGACTGCCAACCCTCTTTCTTGTACTGTGATCACTGTTAGTTGTTATGGTGACGACAAGTATAATGGGACGCAGAGGACAATAACCTGAGAAGGCTGCTAACAGAGGATGTGCAGATACATTACTGTCACTGTGTACGTGTACTTTTATGTGAGGATTACATGATGGAAAATGTTTATGTATAATTTTGATAACAAATATTGCAAATATAAAATTTGCAAAAAAAGAAAGAAAGAAAGTTCGATAGAAGCGCAAAAAGAAGCTAGCTAAAAGAAAGGAACAGTAATAACAGACCAAATGTTAGCACCTAACTCACTTTTAAATCATTGTTCTTTTCATTCACCTCTGTGATTGTTTGCTAACAGCAAAATACAATAATAATAAAAACGTCTTACTGGAGCCTTATGTACATTGTCCTGCTCCCTGCTTTTCATCACCCTCGTTATATCGCCCCCTCTTTACACCTCTTACCTTATCAATGCCATTCTTCTCTGCCTCTGTCAACTCCAGTCCTCACCCACTGTCCAGCTCACCCTTCCTCTATCCTTATTCTCATTCAACTACAGTGTTTGTTAAGGAACCAGTAAAAGTGGCACCAGCAGCTGTCCAAACACTGATGGCCCCCCACTGTCAATGTGTGTGTTCCTACGTGTGTGTGTGTTGGATTGAGAGGTTTGATTTCCAGCTATTATCACAGCCCAATATTTCTATAGCCGTCACCATGGCAGCAAGGAAGGAAAGGAACAAGGAGGATAAGAGAGAAGCCTGAACAGAGGTCGAATATGAGAGAGGTTCAGCAACAGAACAAATTCAGCACAAAGAGAGAAAAAAGTATCTAATGGAAATAACAAAACATGTCAGGGCCAATAAGACACAATAGCCACACACGAAGAAAAAGAAAATCAGACTCAGCTTCACAACAAGCTGCAGTTTACAGTTGTGTCCTCTAGTTCTCATAACAACTGATGAGGCTCAAATTCACAAATCAAGTATCAACGATACCTCTAGTCACCCCAGAGCCTATATTAGGACACAGACTGGTTAGACTACATACTTAAGGCCCATAGGCAGAATCTGGCCCACTGTGACATTTTATGTGGCCCATCAGAACTTTGCGTTTGTAGTACTGTTTTGAAATAGAACAGGGTCTGTACTAATGTTGACTGGATGGATTAAATGTATTGGTCAAATTCCAATGTCCAACATATCCAAGACAGGTCATTTGAATTCTAATCATATGTTTACCATTAACTACATCTCCATAATCCATGCTGATTCCGTGACATGACTTCCAGGATCCTGGTGAATGGAAATGTCAACACAGAGGACAAGCAGCGTCACCTTTTGGTAAAAAACAAAACTTGTTTACTACAGTACAGTTGTAAAATGAGAGACCCTGGTATAAGATATCGTTGTCATCAGCACTCGTCTGTGTATTTATGTCAAACCTTCAGCATTTAAATATGGCAAGGTTTGTAGAACCATATTTTATCAGCGTGCTTTATTTCAGTAACAATCCAAATGCAATATTTCCAATAAGGGTTGCACAAATAATCTTCCTCAAATATGATTACAGATCATTTGAGAGGCAACCACATTCTGGCATCAGTGTATGATGGAGAATGTGACATAGCATTTGAGCTCTGTAATAAAAATATGATTACATCTGATGACATCCATTAGGAACTCAGGTGGAGGTTTGTACAATTGGACCTTGGACAACTGATTCTGCTGCTGATCACACTGACATCATGTCAAATGGAGATGCACTGAGAACACTGATGCAGTTTTTCTGGTTTAAGGACTGGGTTTGTATTACATTACATGTATGCATTTAGCAGACACTTTTATCCAAAGCGACTAACAAGAAGAGGATTGACAATAAAGCGTAATGTTCCTCTGGAAATCAAACCCAGGATTCTCAGCTACCAAGGCAGGCGTGCTAACCGCTACACCATAGAATAAAAGCGACTTTTTACCTGACTATACATGTGTGGGCGGGTCATTGTAAATCAACGGATTGACAGCTGATAGTGAGTTTCCTACCAGTAGGGGCATCGCCAGGTCAGCAAAATATACAAAGGCTGCTCCAAGTGAGAACCCCACTGCCACTGGCACGAAGGCAAAGGAGCCGTATTTCCCAGAATCCTCGGCCATTTCAATGGCCGGCGCCAGCAGGGACCAATAGGAGGCAGCCAACATGACCTGAGAAAAAGCAGAACAGAAACGACAGATAATTTATTGTTTTCTTTCATTAAAAAATGAATTTATTCCATATTGTTTAGGTGCATGTTAAAATTGTATTTTGCTTCAGTTCACAGATTTGCTCACGTTAAAAACAACACAAAATGAGTCTGCATTCAGCTGCTCCAGTCAAAATCAGTGGGGAATAAAGTTGAACACAGACAGAATTAGAGGCGACAATGATTTGTTGCTTTGTCAGCTACATATGGAAACCTGAGAGCTGCAAAGTAAATAAAAAAGAGCAATCAACGACTTCTTGTTTTTGTAGTCACTAGAATATCGATTTTTGCCTTATTTGTTAAGTTCTTCACACTTACAAATTAAAAACAAACTAAACAGACTTCTTCTAAAATGTGCACATGACAGTGCTAGTCTCCTGAGTCAATACAGTCAGAGAAGCTGTTTTAACTTGATTTCTGACACTGTAATTTTGGTAGATATGGATCACACAGGGGCTTTGGGGCACATTTTTCAAGCCGTGTCCAAGCTGCATGCTGCACTGACAGATAAGGAAACACAAAAGGTGAAATTAAAGCTCCAAAAATGTTTTCTCTTTGTCTGTGAAATACTTTCTAACCCTTCAACAGAATCCTCAGGACAAATCTTTGTTGAATGGATAAAAAAGAAAATGCAGCATTGACTGAAGTTCGGATTCAAGACTGAAATCTGTCAGCAAATGTTTTATGTTTTGGCACTGGTCCCTGGTTTTGTCTCTGAAACTGAGGTTGTGACTTTGCAGATGGTTTGCAGCAGCTGCTGCTTATATTTTCTTTCTTTCTTTCATTGCTGTGATATTCTGCCACGTATTGTGCTGCAGGGAACAAAGTCCTACACGGTCTGAGCCCAAGGTTTGTCTCCAGCAGCTGGGTTATGGTAGCACTAACCCTAATCTTTTTATACTGGGACTGAAATATCACCATTCACCATCAGGTAAAAAAAAAGATGGCGGCAGCATAAATGAAAAATCTTTGCCATAATAAATTATGTTATTCATTATTAATTTGCTTGTAATATACACGCCCACAATCAACACTCACATCAGTGAGACAGCAGTGTTGATTCACCCTGTACTGTCTTTGCCTGTTTTCTTTCTATATAATACATAGAACATACATTCGTTATTTTGTCAACAGCTTCATTTAAAAATTGCATTGTGATTAATCATGGGGTAGCTCTTAATTAATAGAGAGCATAATAATCACAATTGATCAGGATTAAATCAATATTCTTTAACATGTAAAAAAAAACTCCTCATTTATAAGCTAATATTTGGCCCAACTCTTCTACTAAGATATGCAGATTCATTCCACTTGCTCCACAGACACACCCGAGCTCTTTAACAGTTTAGGCTGCATTTGGTTTGTGAAATTTTAATATGAGCCGCACCATAATTTAAAAACATAAACTTTCAGCCTGAGGCATACTGCCTCCACCTATATGAGCATGTCAGATGTGTCTGATTTCCCTATTCTGGATTTGCATTCAGCTCTTAATCCCTGGGCAGTTTAATAATCTCCAGTGTCCGTTATTAAACCTGACCTCATAGACAGCACCTGTATCTCTCTGATGCCAATTAGTCTACCGTTCATACAAGCCTGTGATACAGAGTCTTGTCATGTGTCACTGAAGAATTTCTCTTTTCATACAGCGAAAGATGAAATTAATCTAAGACTCAGCTCGTAATCTTCAACCCAGAAGTGCACAACTAAGGCTCGTAATCTTCAACCCAGAAGTGCACTAAACACATCAAACATAAAGAGATTAGGATTTGACTATAGGAATGTTCATAAGTTCTGAACACCAGGGTAATCATTTAACTTAACGTTTGAATGTTTCTGCAGGCTGTTGGTATTTTCCTTTGTCTTTAAAACGGCCTGGTCGTCTTTTACTGTAAATTGCAACCACATTTCACTGAACCAAATTTTTGTGATGCTATCATGCAAATGTACCATCAAGCCGATGTCTCTATGGCATTGGGATGAAGAACTTTTAAACAAGAGACTAAGGATTCCATGGTTTTGAACCTACAAGAGCTGGTTCTCTAGAAGAAGCAGCTCTGGACACCGATCCTCATGATCAACAAAATGAGAGAAAAACAACAGGACTGTTTGTTTCCTATAATTAATCATCTGCATCTAAAGTTAAAAACACGTGACAAAACACAAAACAAGTGTTAACAAAATGGTTCTATGATCAAGGATTAAGTTCTGAACTCCATGGGTTTCCCTGGTCTCATACTGCTGGAGAGCAATCATTTCAATGTACGTTGCATCCTCATCAGTCCTGCAATCAACCATCGCCCCACTGAGTTTGGACCTTTACTTATAATCACTGCACATCAGGAGAAACCTTTGACGACTGCACTTGGATCTGTAAACAAGCGATGAAGAACAGCCACACAGTGAGACAAAACCCTGTCTTTCCTCAACAAATAGAAAATGACGATTCTTTGGAGTCCCAAATTCACAAAACACATTTTACATAACGAAATAGAGCAAGTGAACCACCAACCTGGAAACAGGGAATTAGACTGAGGAAAGTAGACAAAAGGTAGAGAACGCTGTGCATCAGCACCGACTGTGACAAGGGCGGAGGTTGCCTGACTGATGGAAGAGTTATCAAATAGATTGACACCAATTCCACAACCTACAAATTGATACCCACATGCCGACATGTGTAGTATTCTATTCTATGTTTAGTTATGTCAACACTAGAAATGCACTGATTGTAATTTTTCAACCGATTCTAATTTTTAAAGTGTGACTAGCTGCTACAGAGTTTTAAAATTAACCTATTCAACCACTTGGGTTTTGCCTGAGCATGAAGAAAAAAACCTGTAAGAATTAAATTAGAGAAATAGTACCACCTACAAAGGCAGTTACCAGCAATCAAGGGGCTTCTGTTGGTCCAAACTGAAACTGGTTCCCTTTGAAACTCAGGGTAAACATGTTCATATTGTACTTTACCAATAAGCTAATCAATGTTATCTATAGTTGGGAGCAAATTCACTTAAGCTTGTATTCAACCCGGGAGCTGTAAAGTATAAGGAAGTAGGAGGTCATTTTTAGTGCCTTCAAATCCTGCTAAACACAACAGGTCTCCTACAAAAGTTTCAGACCTGAAGCTTGTGGATTTTGAGAGCCATTAGTGGACAAAAGAGGGAAAACACATGCTGGTGCATGTTGTGTTGCTATAGTCAGACGTTCAACGGGCACAAACAACACGTTCTCACTGAAGAGGCAGCACTGAAGGACATCTTGATAGCGTTAATTTACATTCAAAACAATCTAGGACTAGCTTTACACGGCAAAGAGAGAGTCGCAGAGATGCCAAAGAAAAATATAAGGCCTGTTGGGTACTGCCAACAATGTGGCACTGACAATTTCAGAAAATATTTTAAAAAGTGCCAAGAGTTTCTGAAATTAACACGACTCAGTTGTACAGCAATGCCAATTACAGCAAACTTAGCTGACCTGTTTGCCAAATGTTAAGAAATAGTGTTGGGAAAAGACTGTCTGTAGGGATGGACAAATAGGACATCAACATATCTGGAAAGTTCAATATCTCTGTAGAATAAGCCTTACAAACCTTACAGAGCTACAAGTGATTGTATGCTGACTGTCTCATTCCAGTCCTTGGGCAGGAGAAAATCAAAGTGAGGAACAACCAAGGTGACAAATCTCTTCTATGAGAATATTATGAGAATTTAAAGTGACGATCTGGAGCAACAGACTTTCTGACTGACGCTCTAACAGTTGTAGAAGCAGAAGGAACCGTCCTTTTAACATAGGTTTAATACAGTGGAATCCCTGGATATGAGTTTAATCTGTTCTACAACAGCACTCGTCTCTCCATCCACTTGTGTCTAGATTGAATTTTTTTACATTAAAAATAACTAAAAACCAAGCCTCCAAGAAATAAACTATTAATTTCCCCATCTAAACATAAAAAACATAGACATAAACAATTATTGATAATATAAAATAACAATAATCAAGAAAACATAATAACAATAATTAAGAATAAAGAAAGAGCGAGAAAAAGAACGCAATAGGTAAAATGACCAAGCGAGGGACAGTGAGCGAGACAGTGCGACAAAAATGGAGCACTAGTTGCAATAGTTGAAGAATCGTGGTAACATGGAATACCTGTATTTCAGGGTGTCACTGTCACTGTAGTTTTACAATCTGAAGAGCTTAAATCTCTCCATAATATACACGCCGCCATTCCAACAGACCTCTGTTCCTGCTAGTAGAGATGTATCTAAGTTACTGACTCCTGATTTGCTTAGTGACAGCCAATTTACTAGCAGCAGAGAGTCAGACCTTCAGGCTGTCAGAAAACAATAAAAAAACAGACATGAAAATGTCATCTGAACTCTGATATCTAATGTGTACTAGAATAAAATCATCTTATCACTTTAGGAATACTTCCTTTTGATCTCATAGAGAACATAGAGTGCTTATTCCAGAATCCATCATCTATCAGCTAATCTGTGAAAATCAGACTTATTTACCATCCAGTGGACAGTGGACATACGTGGACATGGTCTCCCCTCTTGGTGCTAGTTACGTGGACATGGTCTCCCCTCTTGGTGTGACCCCAATGGTAACAATCCTGCCTAGTCTCTGCTTTCATCATTTCTTTGATGCTGCCACATGTCATTCAGTCTCTACCTGCATATATACATATACGTATACACACACATATATATACACACACACACACACACATATACAGTATATATACTGTATATACTGTATATACGTATGTATGGATATACATACACACATTTTTAACAAACACAGTCCTGTAGGTGGCAGTAACATACTTAAAGTTCACTGACCAACAAAGACAGAAACGTACAGGAGCATTAACTGACTCCAGTGCAAACCAAATTTGTCAAACAGTAACATTATCTTTAAAAGTCAAACCAGGCGAACTGTGTGGGCTACCTGAAACAGACCAGAGGATGAGATTAATGACTAAAAAGAGGAGAAAAAGTTGAATCAGATCCAACTAATAACCTATGATTCACCTATACCTTCAGAAAGATATGTACAGTCAGTATTGATGTTTCACCCTAAAACAGATTTGGTAAAAATTCCCTCTGTATTTTTCAGCAGGGTAGATTAGAAATCAAGTGAAAATCTCTTTGTTTCACAAACACAGAGTTTAAACTGACTCATGATTTCTGAAGGAAATGTAACAGCAGTCTGTTCACATTGACTGGCAGTGGTCTGTTTCACTGCAGCAGGTGGTCTGACGTTCTCACACAGCAGTGACAAGTCATCGGCCAATGAAAACTGCTGTTGCACGAGTGAAATGCTGGAGATGAGTTGGTCCACTCAGTGGATAAACCCAGAGTGGAGGGGGATAAAAATATTTTAAGTAAAGGTTCTGGACCATAACGTGACAGCAACAGGACATTAGGTTTAAATGTTGCTCATCGGCGTCACTGACTGTCGGTGCTTTCTCATCTCTATGACAACTGTACAGAAACACAGGGAAAACATGTAGAGAACAGGTGGGTGTGACTGGCCACCATGTGGATGGAGAAGAGGTGGGGGCAACAAATCATCACAATGTGGCCGTGTTGTGTCACCAATAGTCATGAAAATGATGCTGATGTTTCTGCCACATGGTGTGTGGTGGACTCACTGCTACAGTACGTATGTGTGTGGAGGGAGCGGCAGATGAAAAGAATGGGAACCGAGCGGCTGCTTCATAGATTACAGAATCACAATCCAAACCTTTTCTTCAGTCTCTCACGCAGACATGTTCTTTTAGTTGACTTCATTTGACCAACCAAACCAAAACTATTGTACATTCTAAATCTGGGCTTTTCAAATAAAGGCCTGTGGACCACATTTGGGACAGACCCAACATTGAAGTGGCCAACAATACAAATGACCTGAGAGAGGATCAGACATGATGTCTTCCAATATCATCTTTGCATAATAAAGTAGGCTTAACAGCAGCTTCACGCTGTTTAAAAATGAAACTGACTTCAACCGAGAGGGGACTTTACTCTCACTCAGAACTGCAACTAATTCCCATGACATTTTGTCCATGATGGAAGTGATCTTCCATCAGGATCTTCTCCTCCACTCTGAGCTGCTTCTTCATCTTCAGCCCCCAGAACTAATCCCAAAGCTACACTGAACATTATGCTTCTTTTAGGGCTTTTTTTAGAGGAATCCAATTTATTTTCGTCTCCACTTTCTATCTTCACTGAAACCCCTCAGGTACTTTTTGCCCTGATATGGTTAAAGAGTTAGATTTGTTCAGTATAAATAAGCAAACAGGGCCATACTACTTGCCTCATCGAAACACCAAATCAGTGACTCAGACGGAGTGTTTAATAGACTCCACTCCCAAGGAAAATCTTATTAGCAAGTAATTTTCACCAACAATACCTACCTCTGTGCTCCACGAGCTTTTGTGGTTTACTAATAAGAACAAATGGTACCATTTCAAATTAGAAACCTCCCATTTGGATGCAGGAAATGTCTCAATATTTATTTATTTTTTCTTATTACAAACTCAGTTCAAATCAGAATGAGTGCTGGATGAGAGTAATTCAGTATTTTCTATTTATTATTTTATTCATATTAGAATTAGGACCAACTTATGGAAATGATAAGGACTGGACAGACATTTGTCTATGCGAAGTACTCAAAAAAACTAGACTGTGTGTGTTCAACTCACCCCCGCTGCAAAGCCTAAGCTTCCATCCAAAATGCGTTTCTGAAAAGAGAAAAAAACAGAAGAAGAAAAAGAAGATAATGGATGTTTGGAGTTTAACAAAAACTCAGGAGCTGTGGGTGTGAACATTCTTGGCTAATAGAAAGCGTGGTAACTACTTAACAAATGTTCCAATTCTATTTATTCTAAACCAAAAAAAACCCCAAGTCCAATTTAACAATTGTTTCACATAGCTCATAACACAGCTCAACACTTGACAAATACATAATATAAATTTAAAATTTAAAATAAAAATATAATACTAGTTTTTAGAAGAATTAAGTGAAACTGGATCATTTTCCAGCCTCAATATGCAGCATCACAGAGGTTGGAATTACAGCTTTAAGTCATTAACAAAAAGCAGTTATTTCCATACAGTATATCAGTTAAGAATGGTGAGGAAACTGCAAAAGCCCATACAAAATATTTTAAAAAAATACTTGGGGAAAAAAACATTTAGGAGTGGTTTTTAAAATGTACAGCACTCTGAGATTTAACAATGAGGCAGGCAGGAATATATGACAGTTGCATTCTCATTAAACTTTTCTGTGGAAAACTCCCTCCTGAAAAAATCCACACTTCACTGTTTGTAGGCTGTTAAAATGTCCTTTTCTACCTGTCGACTGGAGAAGACAAACACCAGTGCGGCCCCCGCTGCAGTCAGACCCCAGGTGAAGAGGGTTCCCAGCAGAGCCTGGGTCACAGGGCTGTAGCCTTCAAGCATGATGCCACAGCTGGACACACAAAACACACAGTTATTCTTTTGGATTTGTGGATTCAGATCAGAGGCTGTGGCACTGCACTGCAGTCTTCTGTTATTCTGATCTCTCTGCACAGACTGTCCAATGTGAGAAAAACCCAGTTAGGATTAGATCAAGTTACTCCTGCAAAAGTCAAGTAAATACTGCGCCCAACACTGCAATTAGTTCACACAGACAGTGTTTGCTTCACAACATGAAGGAGTGACAAATCCTGTGTGCTGAGGATTTTAATATCCTGGAGGATTTAACGTTCTGTCTAAACAAACCCTACAGGTAATACGTGGCAGACAAGAATCAACACAGAATCTGAAATATATAGATGTGACTGAAGTCACAGGAGAAGAAACATGAATTTGAAGTAAACACCAGGATATAAATATATTTCACACAAGTAGTTTTAAAAAGGTGTAGTAGTACAAAGAATGAAAACAAGTAATAGAAATTGCTGCTTTACTTTAAAAATATAATGAGTCATTCTTGAGGGAAACAAAAATGTTTTTTTAAGGTTCAGCTGACAAGTCCTGGGAATTTGTTTTTATCCTTTTTTCAATAAATTATAGATTAAAAAACACCACCCTAACCTTTTTAGCCTTTAATGCTATGCAAAATGCTAATTCAAAAGCTGACCTGTTGAATTAAAATGTACGTCTGATTTGTTACGTGAATAAACCCAGAAATATATCTATGATTAAAAGTATTGTTTAAAAATGCGTTGAAACGATTTCTTTAAATCCAGTTTATTTCATACCAGCAGTGAAAAGACACCTGTACACGTCCTGCCATTCCTCGACTGTTTTACTTACATTGCTAAAGCACGGCAACATATAACTTTCAAAAGCTCAGTCCCGTTACAATATAACTTCCACCGACGGCTTCGAATTTCAGATATCTTTATCTCTCAAAGGTAATGTGCTGCGTAAGCATAAAGAGAAGGGAATACACAGAAACTCACGGTCTGCCGGTCAAATTTTATCGACTCAGTTTTATCGGTTTAAATTTTAATAACTGACGTGATAAATTACCAACAGCATTTTAAAAGTGTCAATAAATATTACACTTCCTTTTGATATTGTCTAATCATACTGTAGTGACAAATATATTGTAGTTTTGATAATATTTGAACATTTACTCACTACACTTCCCCGGCAACCCTCGGTCCGCCGTATTTACTTCCTACTTCCCGGTACACGTGTCTATGACAGCGCAAGCCCCGCCCCTCAGCGCTTCCTATTGGTTAATGACGGTAGAGGGCAGGAAAGGAATAGAAAACTAAAGTATATAAAAAAGTATAATAATAGATGAATTCTACATATTTGACTTTGACCTTTTTTTATTTTTTTTACCCAAGATTGTCCATTTTGCATAACAATATTTATATCCTTTCTTCCTAAAGATTAACCTTACAGTAAACTATTGCAGTGATGAATGATAATTAGCTATTGGCTTTTCAATTACATATGAGCTAAAATATAAGTGACCCAAGTTGCAAAGGGACAAACAAAATCCTACTGTGTTTATCCATAAAGTCTGTCTACACATCTGGACATTTGCTTTCCTCCCAGTGTAATAATCCAGGATTGATTTTTTCACTCATTTCTCTTTGGTAATTCCCTGGTATTTTGACCCTTGATCCGTAAACTGTGCTTTCAACATGTTTCTGAGGTTTGACGTCCATAAATCTTTGAAATATTCAAAAAGACCAAGCTGAACTGAAGTTGTAACAAATCTGACGCTGATTAAAATTCACATTCATTTAAACTGTAATTATAGTTTTCAAGAATGTTTCTTAGAAAAAACCTTTGTTCTCAGGGTCTGGTCACACATTCATCACTCCCAGCTTTATCCTGATAAAATATTATGATGGCACCCATGTCCTTTATTTTAATTTAAAACATGTTTTAGGGAACACAAGGACAGGTCTTCATCCATAAATATTAATTTAACTGTTTTAATATCAGGGTCTAAATTTTTATTTAGCCTAAAATCCAAAACCAGGGTTAGAGATTAGCAAGGATTTGAGTTAAGATTCTCATGAAGTATTTCACACTGCACTTGAAATTCACAACACAGGGGCAGCTCAAGTTTGCCATTGAGCAGATTTTGCAAAGTCTGAGTTAAAAAATATCCTACTTGGTTTGTAAGGGTAGGAAATATACCAATATTCTTGCACTGCCAAGAAAATAAAGTGTTGGACAAGGGAATGTATAATATTTAACAGAAAAACCTGAAACATTTTTTAACCTATGAAAAGAGGCACTTAATCTTCACGTGTCTGACAAAAAGAAATGACAGCGTCTTACCTCTTTGGATAAAAAATACATTATATACACATTTATATGTATACACAAACCATTTTTATTATTGAATAAATATGTATGTACATGCACATACATATGTAAATATAATAGTGCTGATATATAATAAAACGTTATTTTTTTTCTGAAGAACTTTCCTTTTGTAAGGATCCTTGAACACAACAGATGTTTTTCCTCTGATCTGTACAAGAAACGTACACAGAGTGATTGGAACCATCCCTAAAAGACTCAACTACATATTTGTCCAGCTGTTCTCCCAGGGTTGGATGATATTTTTCGTGTCTTATTTTTAGAGTAAATTGTGAAAAATCAACAAACATTACCGAGCACAGACCCCCACATGTCTGGTGGTACACAATAAATCAATTAGTGATGCTTTCAGATCATGTTGCTGCAGCTTTATCAACCTCATTAATGAAACACAGATGTTTAAAGCATCTCACATTGTTGTTCTTCCAACGGCACTTTAAATATTTTACATTTCTGTGCTGAGCTGCTGGGGGCTGAGGTTGAGGGGGGAGTGTCAAGATTTGCATTACTCATGGGTGACTCTAGCTTAACGGGGGGTGGGGGGGGAGTTGCTGGGAAACAAAGGGCTGGTGAAAACAAGCAGAAACCCAGAAACAATAAACACATAATAAGCAATGTGGAATTTCCAGATTTGTTTTTGCTCACTGTGGCCTCAACTCACTCCCAAGTAATGAGCATTTATGCAGCAGCCTTTTCCTTTCTGTACGTATCATGGTTTACTGCAAGTGCAGTGTTGTGAAAGAGGCTGCACGGATGTGACATTATCGGCTCTAGTTGGAATAATTGAGAAGTTGAAACTACAGTACTTAGAGTATGGGGGCCAAAAATGAAGTTCAAGTACACAAAAGTGCTTTGAAAATGTAGTCACAACCTTTAGACTAGGAATGAAGTCTTGACCCGTCTGCACCAAGTCTTTTGGTCCACAGCATAAACAGTAAACTATGATATGAACACAAGTTCCTTTCTTCATCTACTACAGTGTGGTGGTCAAATAATCTTATGTTAAATAAAAAACAACAAACAAAAATCTAATGATCATTTTCAGCTTATATGTTAAATAAGATGTTTAACCCAATCTCCATTATGGCATTTATGATTCCCACTGAAAGTACGTAAGTATGTCTCTGTTGATCCTGGGTCTTTGCTGTTCAAATTAAAACTCCTGTCGCTCCGTCTTCGGACTGTCGTCAACTGTGGCTAAACGTTCAGACAGGGACATTTTTAATGTTGCCGTGGGAAGATTTCTGTCGTAAAACTGGCCGGAACCACCCCGGCTCCTTTACACTTGTTTGGATAACAGTTGAGGTCTGGGTCTCAGGAAGAGGTCATCAGAGTCTTATCTAACCTTTACCACACAAAAACATTCCCATGTTTCTAACGGCTAGAGCTAACATTAGCTGGTCTAAGTTGGGAAAGTCTTTGGACTGAAAGAAAACCTGAGTACCACAGGTACATCGTACCACACGTGAGTTCTTTTCTTCCCCTACATCTCCAAATGGCCGCGGCACACGTGGACGTCAACAACTCCAGGTTATATAAATACTGTGTGCTCAATACGAGGCTGCGGAAAAAAGGCAGGATGAAATGCTGCTGTTTTCACGGGGCTGAGTTTCCAGTGAAGCTGCATCAAGTGTCAGTCTCTGGGGACACGTTGAGCTTATCAGGAGTTTAAGACCGCTGAGGCATTTCCAGCACATTTGAAGAAGCTCTTACCAGGGTTTTATTGTGCACAGTGAGGATGTAGATAAGGTTCTCAGTGTCTGTGGGACAATAAAAACGTGGGCCAGAGGTTGGTGGACTGGAGGAGTCTGATTGAGCTCCTCTTGCTGTGTGTTGATAGGTGGCTAAACGAGCTGAAGGGGTTTTACCACGGGGGGAGAAAGTTCTCAAAGTATTTCAGCTATGCGTGTCAGAGCGGCAACAGGAAGAGGGTCATCACTTATCCAAGGGTCTTTAATCTTCACCCAGACCCTTTACTAGCCTTTCGCCTCCTCCTTTTATGATACATTGATAGATGGGAGTCCAGGAGAACAGCAGAGCCAGGGCTGGGAGGAGGATGGATGGGATGTGAACACCCCCCCCCCCCACTCACAAAGAGCAAACCATGTCAAATGTCAGAAAACAAAAACCTTGAAAAGGTAGACAGATCATTCGTTTTTCTGCTGTCGGCAGATTTACTCCGTCTGGGCCGTGATGGTGGGTGGGCCGGGTGACGAGACGAGGTCTTCTGCTGATGGCGAGGATGGAGCATTAGGAGAGGAGAGGTGAAGTAAACAGAAGAAGAAGAAGACGAAGACGAAGTTATGAAAACAAGAGTAGTGTAGCAGATGGGGCCGGGATTTACCTTGGAAACAGCATTACAGCAGAGGAGCTGGGTGAGGGAGTGAGGCGGGGAACTCAGGAGGGGCGTGAGCCAAGCTGGAGTTTATCACAATCTCTGGAGACAGATGAACAGGAGGGGGGGGGGTGTCATACCCCCCCCAACACGCACACACACACACACACAGGAGCAGAAGACACACTTCTCACACTGTGGGGGGAACAGATATAAAGGGGACTCCCAGGGAGAAGGAGCGCTCAGGCGAACGTTTGAGCTGCCGTCCGGCTCATTTCCACTCTGCTGTGCGTCACTGAGAGTGTTTATGTGTGTGAGAGAGCGTGTGTGTGAAAGAGTGAGAGAGAGAGAGACAGAGAGAGGTGTAAGTGCTCATGTGTGTAAGAGTGGAGTCTCCACCGCAGAAGATTACACTTTGACACCTCTCATCAGAAGATAAATGAAGAAGTGTTGACCTGAGGACCGGAGTGAAAACCTGCTCAAAGCCGGGGATTTGACTTTTGTTGACTGTGCTCAGGATCAGGACTTCTTTAAAACTCCATACTGTGAGGTGATCTGGTGAAGAATGGACGTCCTCTCTCCAGCAGACACGGACTTCAACCACACGTCCGAGGACCAGCATCGTTACTTTGAGGACAACATGGATGCTTTTGGGATCACCATGGCTGTTCTCTATCTGTTGGTCTGCGTCCTGGGACTCACCGGGAACTCCTTAGTCATTACTGCCATTTTAAAAATCGACAAAATGTCATCTTCCACAACGGTGTACATTTTCAATCTGGCTCTGGCCGACGGACTCTTCATGGTCGGACTTCCCTTCATCGCCAGCCAGAACTTTCAGAACCGGTGGATGTTTGGCGACACGGCCTGCAAGGTGGTCATGGTGCTGGACGGCATCAACCAGTTCACCAGCGTCTTCTGCCTGACGGTGATGAGCATCGACCGATACATGGCGTTGGCCAACCCTCTCCGGTTTGCGCGGTGGAGAACACCACGTTGTGCCAAGCTGGTCTCAGCGTTCCTGTGGCTGTTTTCACTCCTCACCATTCTTCCCATGGCGCTCCACTTCTCAGCGGATCAAGGCCTGTGCATACCAGACGTGGTCTCCGACACCTGGTGGCTCGGCGTCCTATCCTACACCTTTGTTATGGGCTTTGCGCTGCCGTTTACCGTGATGACCGTCTCCTACACGGCGTTGCTTCTCACCTTGCGACGGCAGAGACCCCAAACTTTGACGACAGACAGGAACCACCGTGTGGAGCGACAGGTCACCAGGATGGTGGTGGCGGTGGTGTTGGTGTTTGGCGTTTGCTGGCTGCCGTTCTACACCTTCAACTTCTGGTCCTTGAGTCAGGAGGTCCTGGTCAAGGATTTTGCCCGGGCCTTTGAGTTCATGGTACTGCTGTCGTACTCGTGGAGCTGCGCCAACCCCATCCTCTACGCCTCCCTCTCCGACACCTTTAGGAAGTACTTCCGCACACTGCTCTGTCCTGAGGACAAGTCACCTCCCAGCATGCAGTGCAACACTGAACGATACAACTTGTATGACACTGGAGTGGCAGATGTCAGCGTGCTGTCTTAGAGGGAAGAGTCTGAGCTCATTATTTACTTTAATACTGATATGAATTACGTGAAATGACTTCATTAACCATTTTCTGTTTGTCTCTGTAATTTCTCACAAACAGCTGCATATTCTGTTTTTCCTCTAAATGTTAAATTGTACAGATTTTCTTGAAACTTGTCATATGATGTACTCGTCCAAATCATGCGAGTACTCTGTATATACCTTTAAAGGACATGTTGCTAGTCTGGATCAAATGAGGACATCAGACAACTGAGGACATCAGTGATAAATGTCAGCCGAGGGGAGACGATGATGTCCAACTGTAGGGGCATGTCATGGTCATGTCCCGCCTGTAGGACATTTTATTGACCAGAAAAAGGCTGCGACCAGTGAGGTTCTGTTTCGGTGAATATTAGCTATTAGCTTTTTAGCTAAGACATCCACAATGATGACAGCCATGCTCCTACTGGAGGCTCCAGCTGCCAATCACAGTTCTTCACTTCTGGGGACCAATCAGTGTGTCATACAGAAGATCTGTCTCTGTGGTGAACAGCCTCTGAACTGCTCTGAGCAGCTGTAAAACTTCTCTTTCACCACTTTTCATTTCAAGTCCAACAGACCGTGTCTCCTTAAGTGTTTTTTAAAAGGGCAAGATCAGAAAAATGTCTCATTATATAAGACAGGTCCAAGGTAAGGACGTGATGCTGGAGATCAAACCTGTTGCTCTGTCTGAGTCACACGTTGGAGTCAGAATTTCTCTCATTGGCTGCTGACCCTACCTGAACGGCTGCTGGGGAGTTGTCAGCGAGACAGGAGAGGGCACGGCGCATGGACAGGTCTGGAAGACAGGTCTGGACACAAAGACTCAGAGAACAGCTGGAATATGTTCCAGCTGCTTCAGGAGGAGGGCAGCATCTGAACCTGTTATCACTGGAATTTATATTGGAGCTGAATGGAGACGAAGAGAAGAAGAAGAACAGGCTTTAAAATCAGAAATAGAACAGAGGTCAAAAAGGTTAAATGAAAAGGTAACCATTAATCATCAAAGTGTTTACTGATTTAAGCTCCTCCTCATTCTTGACTCTTGAAAATAGTTTGCAGCAGTTCTTTAGGTGTGCTCTGGAGTATTTTGTAATTTGTTAAAACTTTTCTTTCTACCAACCAGGTGGCCATTTAAAAAAAAAAAAAATATATATATATAATAAAGAGGAAAAAAGAAGGAAACTATATTAACCCTTCATAAACAATCACTAGTATCTTAACATTAGCCAAATGAACCTTATAAAGACTAGAAACCTCATTACTGTATGTCCTGAAATGTCACCAGAAAAAATACAGAGAAACAAAATGATTTTTCTACCAAATAAAATCCATTTATATTTGTATAAAAGAACATGTTGTGTGAAGTGTGTGTTTACGGGGGGAAATAACATGTTTTCCAGATAAACATGAGAGAAACAGTCAAACAATCACTCATTGTTGTTTCTATGTAAATATGTGTTATACTGCATAATGCTGTGACTGTATGAATAAAAACACGAGGCGCTGCATCATCTGTACCACGGTGTTCTGAAGGATAACAACCAATCTGAGATTAGACACCGTCACTGTCCAACTGTAATCTGTATCATCTCTGATTACTGCTCACTACAAACACTCTAACTCCCAGAGGTGTATTTGTAGATGTTTTGTTGTGATGTTGGTTTTAAAATAATTGTGAAAAATCCTGACGGTGTCTCCTCATCTCCTCCCTCCGCTCCCTGCTGGGTCTCCTCTGAACTGGAAACGTGGAAAGTCTGCTGCAACCGTCGCTGGGCTCGTTCTTAAAAAAGCTAATAGATACCTGCCACATTTTTATTTTTATGTTTTTCAGTGGATGACGGGTTTGGTGGGATTTGACAGATTCAAAAGACCAACACTTTGACAGGATCAAAATTAGATTGACAAAAAAAAGTCTGGAGCAGAAATTAGAGAAGAAACGTTTTATAGTGGAGCGAGAGGCAGTGGAAGGTCGTCACAGTCCACGGCTCCACGAGGGTCCGACCGAACAATGCGTCTTTAATCTGCCGTTAGAGTAATTAAGGTTTGATCAGGAGGAGGTTCAGGATATGAAAATGTTGTCAGTCGGTGGTTTTCATGTCTGTGTTTGCCCTGGAAGGTCAGTGAACTCTGGGTCATGTTGTCAGTCTGTCAACACAGAGGGTGGAGGAGTCCATCAAGAGGAGGAGGAAGAGGAGGAGGAGGAGAAAACATGTGTACAATACTGTGTCACAACCCTGCTGGCTCCACTGCTGCTGACCTTTGAACCTAAACTATGAGGGAGCCAGTGACATGCAGTTCCTATAACAGCCACCAGGAGTGTTTTTGCCCATTGAATGTCATTGTGATCCTTATTGTAAGTTTACTGTAAACTGTCTACATTTATATGAAGTACAAATGATAAATAAATGTAGGTGTCACTGATACAAAATGTGGTTTTGATTTGTTTCAGAACTAGACTGTTTAGACTTGTACAGTGCATCGACGAAACACAGTACACGGAAAACAGAAGAGAATTGGGAGAAAAAAACTAAAATGATTAGAAACAAAAATGTGCAAAGGGAGAGTTTCCACATTTCTGCACATTAACCCTTGTGAAAGTCCAAAAAAATAAGGAAAATGTTTCCTGTCACTTCATCTTCAAAGTAGTTTGACACGTTTAGAAATCCTCAGAAATAGAAATAGAGCTCAGAGTGACTGTTCATTAAAATGTAAAAGGTTCATTTTAAAAAAATACAATTCTCTCCTTCTGAGACAGAAAAACCTTATCTCTGCTCTTTTGAAAATACCAATATCACAAGCACTAATGATGATATATCTGGGTTTTTCACACAGAGTCAGATAATATCAAAAGGCACTCAGAGCTCTTGAAAAACCTCTGCACAGCCTTTATTAAAAAGACCTAACTGGTCTTTCTACAATCTGTTTCAAAAGATATTTTATAGAAGTGCAGATTAAAATAACACTCATGGAGAAGCTGCCAGAAGAATCAGTCTGAAGACAGGAACTGCATTCTACAAATAAGCTTACTATAGCTATCCAAAAAAGCAGTGATTCTCAAAGTGGGGGGCAGACCCTCCTAGGAGGTACAGGGCTATTACAGAGACAAATACCTTTACATTTCATTATACCAAAAAACTTCGCAGACATTGAAGAATAAAAACGTTTCAGTTAGGAGGGTATTCTTAGCGGATCGAATGTTTAGCGTTAAAGGTTAGAGTGAAGATGGATTTACAGTTTGATGAGAAAAAGAGTACCTTGAACCGCGGAGGAGAGGAAGTTTGGTCTGATTCCTGGAAGTTGAACTGTGTTTTCTAAAAAAAAAACAACTTTGTTTGTTTTCTCTGTTCTCCAGAAAAGAATATACAACAGGAAATCCAAAACCACCAGGACAGACACCACAGGGGTCAGGGGTCATCGTGGCAGAGGCAACGTAGGTGGTCACATAGGGTGCCATCTGCTGGAGGGGGTGAGAATTAAGAACCTGTGGCTAATACACTAACACACCAGGTCCTTGTACTTTAGAATGAGATTTTCATTGAAACAAAAAATATTGTCCTGCAGATTATAACGACATTACAAAATTCCATAGGAAAGTAAAAGGTGACATTTTTTTCCCAGCATGCCACACATTTAGGCCAAGACAAAAGTCAACATTGTAATAACTCGTAAAAATTTTACTGCATAGGATTCAAATGTAGATGATAAAATTTTATGACATATGAAAACTTCAGTCACAGTATTAAATGTCAGCGAAACATTTCCCACAATGCAATGTTCCATTAACCTCAAACCGTCGATAAAAAATACAGAATGTCGAGATTTATGACAGAATGTAATACTTTAGTCCACAGGGTCACATCGATTAAACGGCCGTGTGTATATGCATGTGTGTGTGTGTGTGTGTGTGTGTGTGTGTGTGTTTGGCACTAATTAAAGCCTGTGCAGACAGCAGTTATTTTCAGAGGGTCTTCTCTGCTCAGGTCCGTCCAGCTCTCAGCCACTGCTGCTAATGAAGAACAGATGGAGCCTGTCAAAGAGGTTTGTCAATAAAATATATTGATGGGACTCAGGGGGAGGGGAGACTGGGGGAGGTGGGGGACACCAGTCCTCCAGCACTTCCTCCTTCATTCTTTTCATTCATGTGCTTCAATATTGAACTCTCTTTTCACTTTCTCTCCGATTGTGCAACGCAGACAATAATGGACCTAGACTTTCAACATTTTATGACAAAACAAATCTGTTACTGAACCTCAGCAGCAGCAGCAGCAGCAGTAACAGCAGCAGTAACAGCAGCAGCAGCAGCGTCAGCAGCAGTAACAGCAGCAGCAGCAGTAACAGCAGCAGCAGCAGCGTCAGCAGCAGTAACAGCAGCAGCAGCAGTAACAGCAGCAGTAGTAGCAGCAGCAGTAACAGCAGCAGCAGCAGAAACAGCAGCAGCAGCAGCAGTAACAGCAGCAGCAGTAACAGCAGCAGCAGCAGAAACAGCAGCAGCAGCAGTAGCAGCAGTAACAGCAGCAGCAGCAGCGTCAGCAGCAGTAACAGCAGCAGCAGCAGAAACAGCAGCAGCAGCAGTAGCAGCAGTAACAGCAGCAGTAACAGCAGCAGCAGCAGTAGCAGCAGTAACAGCAGCAGTAACAGCAGCAGCAGCAGAAACAGCAGCAGCAGCAGCAGTAACAGCAGCAGTAACAGCAGCAGCAGCAGTAACAGCAGCAGTAACAGCAGCAGCAGCAGCGTCAGCAGCAGTAACAGCAGCAGCAGCAGAAACAGCAGCAGCAGCAGCAGTAACAGCAGCAGCAGCAGAAACAGCAGCAGCAGCAGTAGCAGCAGTAACAGCAGCAGTAACAGCAGCAGCAGCAGCAGCAGCAGCAGAAGCAGCAGCAGCAGCAGCAGCAGCAGCTCTACAGCAGATTTTTTTCTTGTTATTCTTTCTTTTTTCAGTCCACTGTATTCTTGAAAAGCCTCTGTGAGAGTTTTTCTCTGTGACTGATTCCAAACTACATCGTCTCTTCCATCATTTCAAATACCTGTTAGCATCACCTCATTAACCATTTGTAATTAATCACACTGCATTTTAAAGAGCCATCAATGCCACGGGGTCACAGCTTCACTGATGATTTCAGTTCCTCGAGTGAACACCAGGGTAGATTAACATTTAGTCTCAAATTTTTTTAAATGCTAAAACAAAATCTTTTAGTGATCTTTTGATTTTTTTAAGTAA